ATGTTTATCAATGTTTCACATTGCGATATTGTTCTTTTACCCTTATTATTATTGATTATCACAGACTATAATAATAGTACTAGTAGTCTGATTCTAAAGATGTCGCTAAGTTGAAGTCTGTTCCGATATATCTATTGTTCTTTTTAATAGATTGAAAAAGTTCTTGAATCATTGCGTCTTGACGATGAGAAGCTTCGTCACATAATGCAATTACTTGAACAAGAAATGGATGCTGGTCTTTCTCCTGCTACACATAAAAATGCTGATGTTAAAATGTTTCCTACATATGTTAGAAATATTGCTGACGGATCTGAAACCGGTCAAGTTCTTGCATTAGATTTAGGTGGAACAAATTTTCGTGTTTTACTTGTTACTTTATTACCACAATCAAGAGTTGATTTAAAATCAAAAATATTCGTTATACCACAATCAATTATGCTTGGTGAAGGTGTTAATGTATGTATCATAAACTTAAAGCAAAAGACAAACATTATTAAAAGGAATACCTTTTTTTAGCTTTTTCGTCATCTTGCGGATTGTCTTTTGGATTTTATGAAAAAAGAAAATATTCTTAAAACAAATATTCGTTATCCATTAGGTAAACATTTCTTTTTTCAGAACGGTATTGAAATCTTATTGCAATATATTTCTAGGTTTTACATTTTCATTTCCATGTAAACAAGAAGGCCTTGCATCAGCGCGATTAACATCTTGGACAAAAGGTTTTACATGTGCAGGTGTTGTTAATGAAGATGTTGTTAAACTACTTCAAACAGCAATTGATGAAAAAGTATTTCATTAAGAAAAACTATAATTATTTTAATTCATTTCATTTAGGGTATTAATGTACAATGTGTTGCACTTGTCAATGATACAGTTGGCACATTAATGGCATGTGCATATAAAGATCCAAATACAGCAATTGGTCTTATATTAGGTACAGGTACAAATGCATGTTATATGGAAAAAATAGGTCGAGTTGGTACATGGGATGGTGATTATAATGAACCAAAACAAGTTATTATTAATATGGAATGGGGAGCATTTGGTAATAATAATCGTTTAAATCATATACGTACAAAATATGATGAAGAAGTTGATCTCTCATCAGTTAATCCTGGCAAACAAATGTATATAAATAAGAATAACATTTTTTTTTATATTTAATATATCCCTATTTTTTAGTTTTGAAAAAATGATTAGCGGAATGTATATGGGCGAAATTGTTCGTTTGATTATACTTGATTTAATGCAACAAGATCTGTTATTTATTGGTCAACGTGATGGTTACGGAGATTATAGTACACCATTATTTACTCGCGGTGGTTTTTATACAAAATTTGTTAGTACTGTGGAGACAGATGAAGGTATTGCATTTGCAAATACAAGACGTGTCCTAGAAGATATCGGTATTAGAAACCCAACATTTGATGATTGTGCTATTGTACAACATATTTGCAAGAATGTTTCGAAACGTGCTGCAAGATTAGCTGGCGCAAGTAAATATCTATTGAAATATAAAAATTAGTGATTCTATTAAATATTCATTAAAAATTTAGGCCTTGCTGTAATAGTCAATCGTATAAATAAACCTAATATAACTGTTGGTGTTGATGGTTCACTCTATCGTTACCACCCAAGGTTCAAGAGAAATATGGAAAAATGTATGAAAACTGTTGTCAATAAAAATATCAAAGTACGTAAGATAACTCTATTTTCTTAAGAAAAATAAAAAAAGATAGATTAAGTAAAGACTGTGATATTGACTAATTAAAAAGAAAAAAAACTGAATTTCAGTACCTACTACAGTTATCAAACTATGATTTTGGTGTTGGTACAGTAGTAACTGTGGTAGCAGAATGTTTTACTGCTACAAGGAAAATGAAATCTAACTACAAACTTACAGAACTGTAAGGTATAATAAACAACAACAAGCATATATTGAGGAAAAAGCTGGTATGTGGTTATATACTCATGATACTAAAGCTTTTTTTCATTTTTGTTTTACATCATATTGATATTATTCTATTCTGCATGAATTTTCTATGAAATTTAATTTTAATATTTTTTTGTTTAGTTCAAATTAACGTTATCTGATGATGGTAGTGGTAAAGGAGCGGCATTGATTGCAATCGTTGCTGATCGTTTTCAAAAACAGCAATTAAGATCAAGTTTTGATGAAAATGAAGATGAAGAAATTCGCGAACAATTTCAAAAAACTGCAGAAGATCCAACTATACCCATCCCTCAAGCCACGACTAGCACATTACTTAGAACGCTACCTTCAACTTGCTGTTTTTGAGAGGCTAAAATTTCGACTCAAGAAGTTTTCAATTCAGATTGAAATTATTCTCAGTATTCATCATAAGAAAATAATTTAGTTTTTATGAATAGTTAACGGATTTTTAGAAAAATAACGTTTCGTAACACCTCGTCAATTAGGACTCTCGACAAAACAATTATTCAAAATTTTCGTCACGTATGTCGGAATGGGTGTGGATGTGGGTGTGGGTATTTATTCTGAATCGGTCCGCCAGAGGTATCTTACTTTTTTTGTTACGATTTTCTGTACAACAGTATTTCCGAACACCGGGTCATGCTGTCAGATGTCCGTAAAAGATGGTACGAAACGTCATACATCCCGCATTTTATATTATAGAGTATAATGGTGTAGCACTGAAAAAAATATTTGACTGTTCAATGTAGAGCGTTGTATGTGCAAGCCTCATGAGAAAAGTTAAACGCGCTTAAGCTTACTTATAATAGCTTGAGTTTTTATTTTATAAGCGCTTAAATATGCTTACAAAGTTAAAAACGGATTTCTTAGTAATTATATTTCTAAGATTTGAGTTGGTTTAAATGATTTATGCTGCTTTAACCTGTAAGCGCTTATCAATATTCTATATATATATATGTCTAAGCATGTGAGAATAGGTCAGCAATAGCTTGCAGTAAGAATATTTCTAGATCAACTGAGATGAATTACAGACAGACTCATACAGCGGGAGAGTATTGCTTCATACTTGAGTTACAATCCTCTCGAGTAGTATTGCGTTGAACTACACTTTCAAATGATATTAATTGCTATTGCACAGTATGTTGTTCTGTCCAATATTAAGAATGGTGCCAACTAATTATATAACTAGGACGTTTTTTGAATGATTGATGAGAAGATTTTGAAAATGGATGGAAAATTTCTTGAATCGAAACTGTTGCAGTTCTTTTTTTTTACCTAATCAGTCTATCCCGATTTTGTTTTTATTTTGTATTTAACAAATCTAGAACGTCATACGTTGATATGCAAACAATTTCTTTTTGTGTTTTGTATTTGTCATATTATAATTATGTGGATGTTTACTTTTTTTGTAATGTATCTGTGCTTTAAGAGTGGTTTCAAAAACACACAATATATGTCCTTTAATTATTAATATTCCCGCCCACAATCATGTTGATGATTTGGAAAATATTCCTTTCTTTTTCTCAAATATTAATCCTTATTGTTTTCAGTTTTTTTTCTTCATCTTATATTGAATAATATATTTTTTGTTCAGATTTCAATTTCTGGTTATAGTTACAATATATATTTAGGTCAATTTTTTCCTTACATTGTAAATAATTTGTTATGATGCTTTCAAAAGAAAAACGAAACTTATTTCTGATTGAAAACATAAGATCAATTATATTTGTATCAGAATTGATTAATAGTATTTAATGTACAAAAAATCAGGACTTTATTTCTAATGAATAAAACATTATCATCTTACAAAATCAACGAAACAATACTTACAAAAATGATCTAACCAATATGTAATAGATTCTATTGATTTTATTTTATTTTTCTTATATAACAACAAAAAAACGAAATTTCATGATATTCTTAAGTCCTTGTTAAATTCTAGGTTGTATGATAAGCTACAAAAATAACCTTCCAACATTATTATTACTTTGTCAAGGATAAGTTATTCTCTAAATATAGAAATAGATAATACTGCATACACAGACAGTTATGTATCTAACAACTATATGTGACAATTCTGCTATGACAGAATAGACAGAATAATAACAAACAAACTATTAAATATCCTACCAAATAAAGCAAGTATAATATATATTATTCATTATAAGCAAATAAATGGATCAGATTTACAGTTGTCATCACAGATCACCGTAATATAATTGACTCATCATCAATAGAAAATATCTGTCTGTACGTTTTTTTTTTAATATTCTCTTCTTCTTCTTCTTCTTTTTTTTCACTTTTCTGTCAAGATGGCGGCGATCATCGTGGGGCGTTTTTTTTTCTCCTCTTGTCGCTATTTGTGTGATGTGGCGTCTTTCAATAGATTTCTTTTTTTCTTTTCTCTTTGCTTTGCCTTTCTCTATTCTGACAAAGCGACAACCTACGCCTTACACAACTATATTGGGACACTTTTTTTCTTATTGAGAGAAGCAAAGCGTAATTAAACAGAAAGGAGAAAAGAAAAATGACGACTATTCTCTATATTTCTCTCATTTTTACAAGCCATGGTAAGTCAGAGCGAATAACAAATTGTGTTGGATGTCGTCAACATATATATACACCGTTATAGAAAAGAAAAAGAGAACAGACATATGCAATCCTACTAAAAGAATAAAAAAAAAACGAGAGAGAGAAAGAGGGAGAAAAAAAGAAAAATAGAAACCTTTACGAGTAAGCGCGTGCGTGTTCACTGCTGATCGTCATTATACATGAGAATGTATGTACAAAAAAAAAAAGATGAGAAGAAAAAAAGTGAGTGAAGGACAATGACGACTTACGTCAATACAATTTATCTCTTCACTACTGACTGTCAGTATTAATGACGTTCGATTCGATCATTAATTTTAATACTCATGTCCGATTTCTTCTAGATATGATTTATTTTCATAATCAATAAATTAAGCCTTTCTTTTTTGTTTCGTATATTATTTATTTTAATTATGAAAAGAAAGAAAAAAAAAGAATTGATTATTATTTTTAGATGGCTGAGCAATATTTATCTAGCTCAACTGATATTCCGTCCACAATAGATGTTGTAAAAAAATCAACTATATTGGATACTACTCTTGATACTAATTCTTTTATTCGTCGTTCACTTTCAAATAAATTAAATGTTACTTGTGTAACACCGACACCATCATCAACAGCATCATCAACAACTTCTCTAACGATTTATTGTATTGAAACAGGTTCTGTAGCACAATCACTTCGTCGACGACAATCATTAACTAATACAACAGTGATACCAAATAATATCGAGATTACTACGAATCCTATTGATGAAGGACGTCTGCTTAACGATAATGATAAACCACAAGATTTATTGACAGATGTTGAAAAGACTGTTACTATGAGCGATGGTGATAATGAATCGTTTGATGATGATGACGACGATGATGATGATGAAACAATTATTGATGATTCACTAGATCCACAATCATTTCCAACACTACCAAATTATGTCAGCTCACCATGTCCGATTTGTTTAGAACAAGCAGTATTACAAGTATCTCCATGTTGTTATTATCTTTGTTGTAATAGTTGTTGGCGTGCACATATATCATCGACGATAAATGATGGACGAATTAAAATCCCATGTGTAGCTAATGAATGTAATAAATATCTAACAAGAGAATCGATAGTAAATTTTGTTCGATATGATCCTGTATTACATGAACGTTATCTTAAATTATATTTAACTTTTAATCAAAATCCACGTGCTAAAACATGTAAGAAATTCATACAATCAAATTTATTGTTGATCTATCCTATGGATTATATTTAGGTCCTCGTTGTTGTCATCTTTATTCATTGGATACAATAAATCCAATTCCTTTAGTAAATAATAATAATAATAATAATAAAAATGTAAAAAAACAAAATAATAAAAAAATTCCAAAACAAGTTCAATGTTCAGACTGTTCACTTGTTTGGTGTTTTCGTTGTTCGGCACCATGGCATGAAAATATGACTTGTAAACAATTTATAAAAGGTGATAAACTTTTATTAAAATGGATTAATCAAAAAAATGAAGAACAATGGAATGCAAGAAAATGTCCTAAATGTTCTTCACTTATACAACGTGCTGGAGGCATGATATATGCTTTATTTTCTATAATTTTTATAAATATTTATCTTTTGATAGGTTGTCCTCATATGACATGTCAATCATGTTCATGTGAATTTTGTTATCTATGTGGTCGACGTTATGTACAAATTCCATTTATTGGTCAACATAGTAACAAATTTAGGTAAATATATTCTTTTTATATGAAAATAAAAATGAAGTTTTTCTTTATTAGTATGTTTGGATGTCCATATAATTTTTATCCTGAAAAACCATGGCTTCGTCGAACAATACGTGGTGTAATTGCAACTAGTGTTGTTGTTGCTTCACCAGTTATTGTAGCTGGTGCTGTAACTGCAGCTATAACAGTTTTACCACCATTTGGAATTTATAAACTTGTTAAACGTGTACGTTCTCGTCGTCATCCACAAATTGAAGCTACGTTTCCTATTGGTGAACCATTCTTAATCGAACCTGATCTTAATGATCGTGAAGCATTAATGCGTGCAACATTTCAATATAATTTACGTGGTGATCTTGCAGATGATATCATGCGTGTATTACGACAACATACTGAAGGATTTTCTTTTAATCCAACTATAGATGACGATGATAATCAAAGTAATAATGAATATAATCAAGATTTTCCACTATCGATTTTTGCTGAAATGGATATTGAACATTTATTTTCTGATAATAATAATAATGATAATGATGAACCAAACAATCCTCCATTAGATTATCGTACATGTCCAACTACACCAGCTTCAACTATACGAAAAGGTCTAAGTCAAAGTTTAACTAATTTATCAGCGAATTATCGTGCATCTCTTAATCGTCATCATTCAATAACTATAGAACACTAATATTTTATTGCATTTGTGAAGAGTGTATATATATATAGAAGTTTTTCTTTGTCTTGAGTGCGCGCATATTTCTATGTCTGCCCGGTGTGCTTTTCTTTTTCCTGTTTTTTCTTTCTCAGTGACAGCACAGTTGCTTATGATATTTGTTTTTGTGTTGTGTGTGCATCCGTTTGTTTTCCTATTTCTGTGCCACTCATTGCATATAGCAGCGATAAATAAAATACCAAAAGCAGAGACAGAAAAAAATATTTGAACTTTTTTCAATATTAACATATGATCGTATAAGTACAAAAATGTTAACGACTAATAATTCAATGTACATTTATCATTCATCTCAATGAATTCATATGTTTTATATGAACAGATCAATACATGTTTAATTGTCGAAATCAATACGATCTAATTACAATGATCATATCAAATTAAAAATATCCTGTTCATAAATTGAGTATCAAATATGTTATATGATATGGTATAGGATCGATATATACACAGACATGCTTGTCTCAACATCTAACGAATGTATTGTGATATTAACATATATCTTTACTATGCAATTTACATTTAATACTAATTAATATTTTAATAACTTAATTAACATAGAAATGATATTGCATATAAGTTCAAATTATTGAAGAGAATGTCCTTGGAGAAGTAATGATTTTTATATGCATGATAAATGTAACAGATTTTGATTGTGTAAATTCGAAGTAATTGGTTTATATACTATTATGCAATGAAGTCATATTCTTTTGATATTGAATTCAATATCGTGATATAATATTCAATAGAATAAATATATATATATATGTAAGAATTCTATTCATTAAATGAAATTTGATGATTGCTTATATTTTAGAGTAATTATAAAGTTTTTTTTTTTAAAGTTTGACGTTATTATATGTTACTATGAGATAGAATAGTTATCTTGCCTTTTAAGACATTAAAAGAGAAGAAAAAGGTTGCATGAGCAATTAGTTCATTATTCCGCAAGATGAAAGTTATATAATAGTCGTAAGAGCGAATATAAAAGATGAAGTCAACCGTTTATAATCTAAAAAATGTCATACTATAATGCTTGCAGTAAAACGTTATAATAGCCATGATTTGAAAAAACGAACGTATTTTTGTTTGTATTACAATAACTTTAGATCACTTGTAGTTAATTACAAAAAATCATGTTCTAATGACAAAGTTCTTTTGACATTAGTATCTTACTATGATTGATTGACACACACTAATTTCAATACTATTTTCTTTATCACTAGACAATATAGAAACAAGTTTTCACATGAAGTGATTAACATATGCAATTATGAATTATCTACTACTTTAATGCATGAATATTTGAAGAATAAATATTATTTGAAAAGAAAAGATGTTGCATAAATAATATGTTTGCTTGTCATACATAGAGAATATTAGTCGACATAAATCATCGAAGATCATCTGTCTCGTCCATTGTGTTTGTTTGAAAAGAAAAGAAGAAAAATGACAAATAGACGACAAGAGAATATACTAATAAAAAACAATCATTATACGAAACAAAAAAAAAGGAGAGAAGAGTTTTTTTATCATATATTATTTATGTATCCTTGTATAGACATCTTTCAATTTCAGTTAGAAATAATGGATAGCTGAAATGTCTTATAAAGTATTTGAAGTGCTTATATTTTTAGATCCACAATTGTGAGACAATATAAGTAACATGGATTTAGAATCATAGTAACGAGTTATAAAGATAGCATTGCATCAATGCTGAAAAAAGCAAATAGCCTGTTCTTAAAAACTAATGAATGAATAATAATATAAGAAAACTTTATTGAAAAAGGCTTGTACAATAATATAATATAGATCATTTATTAATAATATACACTTCAACTTCTTCAATAATATTATTATTATTACTATTCGTAGTTAATGTTGAGTTACAAATACAATCATTATTTGCATCACAATAACCAGTTAATGAAAATGTTGTAGCGAAACAATATATACGACAAGCAACATTCCCACCAGTTGTACATATATCATCCATGACATCGGTTTCCTTATTTTTATTACTGCACACTATTTTAAAAAAATAAATTTTCAGAATACTAATGAAAAAGATTTACTTATTGTGCCAATGATTACCCATAGACAAATAATTATAATATGACTTTTTGATAACATAATGTTAACTTTCAGACGTTAATAAATTCGCAATAAATTCAAAGATTCTAAATCCCTTTATTAATTGGATTATGATTTAACCATTCATAGTTAAGTTCCATATATACTCTGACTCTGTTGAATAAAAGTGACATCCATTGAATATACTTATATACATTGAAGTAAAAGGAAACTATTGAAGATAATTGATATTTCTAGTAGTAGTATGCTTATTTGAGCAAAACTTATTTAGAAGTAGTCCAGAGAATTTCTGATGTATAGGGAAAAGAATCTAACCCAGCAAGAGACATAAGCCTGATGGCAAGCATAAAACTCTCACCCACAGAAAAAATTGAAATCATCGAATTCCTTTAATTCAGACCAAATCAGTTTACTCTGTTCATAGATTATGTCTTGTTAAGATATCTTTTATAGTTTAGAAATATCATCTATCCACAGTTCATGTCAACTCAAAATAGAAAGTCATTGGGAACTTCAACAGCTATTATGTCATCACTTCTTAAAATCTTAAATAAGATGTCTTAACTTAATAATAGTTTTACTTTATTAATTCTTTACTAAATTCAAAAATAAGTTTAAATAAAAATCAATCATCTTAAAAATATTTCTTTCACTCTTTTTTTCATTATATTTCATTGAAGAGTGGTTGATATTTATCAAACTACTTTTTAAAATTTTTTTCAAAATCCTCTCAGTTGTCAGACTGCTTGATGAAAAAATAATCTTTATCTTGTTTCTTTTTCTGATTAAAGAGTGCCGATGAACTGCGTATTCACTATTTAGTGTTATATCAAGGGCAAATACGATCAGACTAGTATGCGCGTAAACTATCTTCAACTGAGTGCTATTATTCTTATATATTTTTCAATTTTTCCATTCATATACCAATTAATTATGAAAAAAAATAGTATCTTTTGTTTTCTAATTAATTAATAGAAAATAAAACTACGTAAAGCACAGGACAACAAGTGATAGAAATGCTTGTAAGATGATTGATTTTATTTAAATTAAGTTTTTTTTTGCGAATATGCGCAACTGTGATAAATAATTTAAACTTATTTTTGAATGTAATAAAGAATTAATAAAGTAAAACTATTATTTAGTTAAGTCATTTCATATATGCTAATAATCAAATGTATGTAAGACTGATATAACTTAATATTTTTTAGTTAATTTTTTTATCTACCTAGGTGCATATACACTTCTTTTTATTTAAAGTCATGTCTTTAATAAAATATTTTTTGCATTGATTCACGTTCTCAAAATAATACTACAAACACACGCGTCCATTGTGCATTTAATGTTACATAGTAGGTACTGATTCATTTCATCATAAAAAGAAAAATGGTGTATATGTTACTATATTAGATAAGAATCCGTTGAAGAAAACTAATCTGTACATACAGTCAAACAGCATTCTTCTCTTTTTCTTTTCTCTCAAAGAAAAATTTTCAGTAATCATCTCTCGTCATTTATAAAGACGATGGTGCATGTATTGTTTTGAATTTCTTTGTATAACGATTGTTCTTTCTGTGATAAAAATATTTTGCAATGGGTTTTTTTATATAAGATTTTTCTTTTCCTGATGAAATTCTTTTTATAGTGGATAAGTTATTGTTTATATGAGTGTGTATTTTTCGAGTGATTTGTTTTTGTAGTATTTTCCTTGGAAGTGTGAAACGATTTTATACTTTAATTTTTACTTTTAGGTAAACTTCAAGTTGCATTTTATCCAGTGTTTTCTTTTCGTTTTTTATTTCTCCAACTAACATTTCGAAAAAATAATCATAAACAATCGAGTTTTTTACGACTGAGTGCTCTCACTTACATTCTCAGCTCTTCATCAATATTTATCCACACTCCGCTTTTGTCTTTGATCGAACCTTAGGTCTATCTATTTTCAAGCTCATAATGCGAATCGCTTATCTTTTAGACCGACATACCGGATATATATTATTTATGCTGTTCATTATGTATATAATAATATTCTGTAAGCATACAGTGAGAAATAAGTGTGGTCAATCACTGTCACAATTATTGCTCTTGTTTTCGTTTGCGCTAAATTATAACTCGAAAGCATATACATATCTTCGTATCTGTCTTCAGCCATATTAATCGAAAGCTTTTCTTTGTAAACTAATAGTCACAAAACGGTTCTTGTTAAATATTAGCCTTGCTTTCATCGGAAACCCAATAAACGATAATGAATCTGGAGGAAGATTTGAATTGATACAATATTTCGAATATTTTTGCCTTTCAGATACAAACGGTTAATTTGAACACATCTCGACGAAAATACAACAATAACTGACACTTATGCAGGAAAGTCGATTTGTAAACCGCACTCTCTCAGAGCTTCAAGAAGCCAATCGCAATCCAATATATGGTTATGAAGATTCACCCATTCTGACATTAGAGGAAGCTGTGGAAAAACTAATTCCACTCGTTCCCGATGTTTTAGCTTATGTCATGACAGCTAAAAAGAAATATCATCGACATTCAGATTTATTAATGCGAGATGAATCGGCGGCAATATATCTTTATTCGATGCCATCAACTTTTTTTTCTTCTCTCAACAACACACTTCGAGCTGAAGATCGACATGCACTTAAGCCATGGTTTGCCTACTTGAGATTGTTTATGACAGCTCTCAAGAAACTACCATCAATTAAGACCGTTGTTTGGAGAGGCGTTTACGGTGATGTTAGTTCAGTATTTGCTAACAGTAATATCGGCATTTGGTGGAGTGTAAATTCAACTTCGCTGGATCTGAAAATTGTTCAACCATTTCTAGGCGAACATGGCACTTTGTTCGCTATTGAAGCTATATGTGGCAAAGATATCTCCCAATTTTCAGCAACTCCAGAAGAAAAAGAAGTTATTCTAATGCCTGGAACTCATGTACGAGCCAAAACCGAAGTACTCAATTTCAATGATCGTCTCTTCATTGTTCACTTGGACGAAGTAACTCTTCAAAGGTTAGTCCACTTGAAAAGATAAATAAAATCTATCATATTTATTCGCCATTGAGAATATATTTAATGTGATCGTCCCATGAAAATTGTCTATTCTATAGGTACAATAGTATGCAATGCAGCTCACACTGTCTCACCGTTTATTTTATCTGATAAGTACTTTAATATCGAAACTTAAATATTGACAAGAAGCACATATCATAGAGAAAATAAACAAGGCCTGATAGTAATGTTTGCATAAAAATTTGTAAACTAAAACAGAATTTCAACTAGAACTTTTACAATTCAAATATTTTCGAACAGTTTGCGAACAACATTTGTTTTTCGTTGATGAACCGTAGTAAAGCTAAAGGTTCGCCTGAAAAAGTTTCTGGAAATGCAAATAAATAAATCTCCTTATCATACAGGAGATATTAGTTTTCTTTATAAATCCGTTAGTATATTGTTCGAGCTAATCGAAAATACATTAAATGAGTTTGTATTAAGTAACATTTTATGAAATATTCACTATTTTCTAAATATTATTTACGTTTTTAATAGTGAATCACAATTTGAGCCAAATCATCTATTTCAATCGATAAAACAAGAATATTATCGAAATGGTTATATTGAACGTCTGATGAATCCAGCAAAATCCTATCCAATTGAAGACAGTTACATTAATTTAGCCATCGTCGAAACTAAACAACAACAACAAAAAGAAAAACAACTTCGTGATGCTCCCAATAATGATGCTATTATGGGAAGCTTTGAAGAAATTTATGGAACAAAAACTACAATAGATGTCAAAAACATTTTTGAAGCATGTAAAAATCAAGAGAAGAAAGTGCTGGTGTTCGGACGTGCTGGAATAGGAAAATCCACATTCTGCCGATATATTGCTTATCAGTGGGCGATGGGTTTATGTTGGACACAATATGAATTATTGGCTTTAATTCCATTACGTCGCTTAACAACTAATCGATATCCTCCTTTACCAATTGGTCAGAATTATTCTTTAATTGATCTTGTAAAAAAAGAGATTTTTTCTTATGATCTATCTGAAAGTGAAGACAAACTTCTGAAAAAACACTTTGATGCAAAAAAGACTCTATGGATTCTGGATGGATATGATGAAATTATACAAAATGTACCTTCACATTTAGAATGTTTATTCGAACAATTACTTAAAACTCCACATCATATTTTGACATCTCGTCCATATCAAAATTCATTAGCTTACCATGTGCAAATGGAAATCACAGGTTTTACAGACAAAAATATCGAGCAGTATGTGCAGAAATTCTTTGATCAAATGAAAGATGAACTCGACAATTCTTTGATCAAAAGTCAAAAATTATTCAGATTCTTACAGTCAAATCAATCTATCTGGGGTGTTGCACATATTCCAGTGAATTTAGAACTGATATGTAGTCTTTGGAGTAATGAAGATTTTATAGAAACAAAAGGATTAACAATAACATCATTATATACAGTTATGATTGAATGGTTATGTCGACGATATTTATCAATACCAAATAAAAAAATTCAAAATTTATCTAAAGACGACGTCAGTCAACGCTGTGAAAAAGAATTAGCATTCTTAGAAAATCTTGCCTTTAATGGAATGAAGTGTAACTCTATAATTCTACGACCAACTCTACTGAAAGAAGCACTAAATGAAGAAAAAATCTCTTTACATGACCATCCACATATACTCAATATGGGAGTTCTCAAAAGTTTTAATAAACAAGGTATCGATACTCAGATTGAAACAGATAAAGATCATTATTTTGTGCACCTCAGTTTTCAAGAATATTTTACAGCACGGTATTTGATTAAAGCTATTAAAGACTACTTAACTCATCAAGAAGAAATCAAATTTATTCAGCGAGAAAAATACAATCAACGTTATGCATTAGTGTTTGCTTTTCTGTCCGGTCTTTCCAGTGAGGCTGATACAAACATATGTTTAAACAACTTTTGGGAACTTATATTAACACCACCGATGGATCTTCTTGGAATAAGACACATGCAACTTGTTATTTCTTGCATTGAAGAGATAACAAGCCAATCAACTATTCTGCAACACACTGCATTGATAGAATGGATAGCAAAATACATTGAATATAATTTGTCTACGGAGAACAAAATTATTCCTGAGTGTCTTGTCCAATCATTAAGAAGAGCACCATCAGTAATAAGCAATCAAAGAATTATAAATGCATTTATCCATCCACTTCAAAATCATGATTCAAAAATCAGAATCGCGGTGCTCTCATTCATTTCTAAAATTAACAGTTCAGATCTTGCGTTGGCACTGATTAATTTAGTGAGTATCGCACTAGATGATAAAGATGCGACGGTGAGAGTCTCTGCATGCGAGGCTCTTGAGAATATGGGTGAGAAAGCAGCCACGAATGAAGTGATCACTAAATTGATCAGTGCATTAGAATATAAGAGTGATGACGTCATAGTCAGTGCATACCGAGCTCTCGGTAATATAGGCAAAAAAGCAGCAACGAATGAAGTGATCACTAAACTGATTAGTGCATTAGAAGATAAGACTGTCCTTGTCAGATGGTGTGCATGCAATGCTCTCGGGCATATAGGTAAAAAAGCAGCGACGAATGAAGTGATCAATAAACTGTTTAGTACATTCGAAGATGAGAATGACTTTGTCAGAGAGGGTGCATCTAGAGCCCTTGGGATTATAGGTAAAAAAGCAGCGACGAATGAAGTGATCACAAAACTGGTTAATGCATTAGAAGATGAGAGTGACAAGATTAGAGACAGTGCATGTCGAGCTCTTGGGTGTATAGGTGAAAAAGCAGCGACGAATGAAGTGATCACTAAACTATTTAGTGCATTAGAAGATCAGAATGAGAAGATCAGATTAAGCGCATGCCAAGCTTTTGGGGCTATAGGTGAAAAAGCAGCGACGAATGAAGTGATCACTGGACTTATTAATGCATTAGAAGATGAGGCGGACCTTGTCAGATGTTTTGCATGCTATGCTCTCGAGTATATGGGTGAAAAAGCAGCGACGAATGAAGTGATCACTAAACTGATTAGTGCATTAGAAGATAAGAGTGACCAGGTCATATGGTGTGCATGCAACGCTCTCAGAAATATAGGTGGAAGAGTTGCGACGAATAAAGTGATCACTAAACTGAGTAAAGCATTAGAAGATGAGAGTGAATATGTCAGACGTGGGACCTGTGAAGCTCTGAAGAATATGGGTAAAAAAGCAGCGACAAATGAAGTAATCATTAAACTGTTTAGTGCATTGGATGATGAGGGGGGCCAGGTTAGAGAGAGCGCCTGCCAAGCTCTCGGAAAAATGGGTGAAAAAGCAGCGACGAATGAAGTGATCACTAAGCTTGTGAATATACTTGATGAGCCTGGAAAATTATCTTATACAGCTGCAGATGCTATAGATGGTATTTTACATTCTTCAACCGTAATGATTGATTTTGGTCCAATGTTAATTTCAAAACTTTGCGGATGTGGAAGACAATTGAAGTGCTTAAAAAATGTTTCACTGGATGAATTAATCAGAAAATTTTTCCATTCTCAAGATGCTGCTTGGTTGTTGCCGATGATTGAAATAGCACTTCAGAAGGGTGCTGCTGTGTTGATCAATGAAGGTAAATTAATGGTGTATGATAATGGAGAACCAATAGAAGTATCTACTCAAAATTTGGAACTACATAATAAACTCATTGAAGCTTTTACTAATAAGGCAAAAGCGCTGCACTTGCCTCTTGGAATACCATCAAATCTAGAAAATTAATGTTAATTATATTCGTGTTTCTGGAATATCCTGCATTTTTCATCAAAATTATTAATTAACCATATACATTTCATCTTCATATTGAGTTATGCTAACATGTTAATTTTATACTTTTTTCTTTGCTTATTATATTGTATTTCTTAGTCTATTTGTTTTTTTCACAGTTATTGAATAAAGTGTATGAAAAAAAATCCAAGTTCTTTGTTTTCAGTGATATAAAATAGTTATTAATTGTCAACTACTTTGTAGAAATCATTTGATGAACAAGTGAATCTATTATATACGAAATGAAGTTTATTAAAAATGATTCTATGTCGTACTTATTCTAATAAAACCCAAGTGTGTAGTAACTTTTTTATTGACAATAAAAGACAGAAAGAGTAATAAATCAGTTTCTTATTTAGTTGTGTTCATTTTTTAAGGTTTAAGATTAATGTTTGAATGAAAATTGATATTGTTTTTCTATATACTAAATTAAAATTGGATTTTATTGCCTATAAAAAATATGATAGACGGAAATATTAGCTAGATATCCTTTTACATATTTTTTCTTTCATTATTCAAAGTGCTGAAATAAATTTAAAGTTATATGGAGTCCAATCAGTTTTCGAGGATGGGTGTGTGTGAGATAGAAAGAATACTCACGTCTACCCACACTCACACCTTGGCATAAGTGAATTTTTTTATTCAGTCTATTTATTTAAAGCATACTGAAAAAGAAAGAATAACATCAGTATTACAAACATTACTTGATTTCGAGAATATATCTATTTTTTGATCATTCGTCGTTTTTTTCTCATGAAAATTATTTCTGTGCAGGAACTTCGTTCGTAATGAAACATACAAAATTCAAAGCCATAACGCTATTACTAGCAATTGTCAGTCCTCATTTAACTACAAATATTTGTTACACCTTTTAGATTGAAAATGCTTGTATTCAGCTCTCCAGCATGTTATTAAAACAATTCGAAAGAACACTTTTCTGAGGATTTGTCCACTAAAATTAATTTGAAAAGGTATTTTGGGAAAATATTTTTCACAAGTAGGCATGTGCCCCCGACTATCCTGTGTTGAATGGTGAAAACCGCAGTTCACTATGACTTTCCATTCAAGAATTATAAGCTTTTCTTTAAAAACTCCGATAGTAGTTTATTTCTAACTTTTTCTTGTTTATTATAAGTTTGTTTGTCTAGTAAAAGTATCACAAATATAAAAATCTAAACTCGATAGTATATCACCTTAAAAACAAAACTATATAGAGAACATGAAAATAATATAGAAATGTGATACAAATACACAATAAATAGAAAACATACAAAGAACACTCGGTTAACTTTCTTCTTCTTATCCATGATATGTTTTCAAGTAAACACAATAGCATACATATATCAAAACAACGAAAATTAATAGATCTTTTATTTTATGTAAACCACATCATGTTTTTAACATTTTTATTAACCATGATCAAATTACTTTTGATATCTTCTAAAGTAAGATCATCTTCAACTTGTCCAGTATCTCGATTTGATGGATATTGTGATGTTGTTTGATATGGTTCTTTTTCAAAATATCTTGCATGATAAGCAACTGTATGAGCATATCGTGCAGCTGCTGGACATTTAACAGCTTTTGTACATCGTACATCAGTATGACAAAGCTAAGAAAAAAAATAAAAATTTCTATTGAAGACAAAAACAAAAATTTTTCTTTACCCAAAATGTTAATTGTTGTAATTCATCACTTGTAAATTCAATTTCATTATATAAAACATGATAATAAGAACAAACATTCGTACCAAGTGCACCAGCATGTGAATTAAGATAAAAATCAAATTGACGTGGATGTACAATAGTTGTATCAATAACAGTTCCTGCTGCCATATTTGTTATACGTTGACCATTGGGAGCAAAAAAACGTGTATTATGTGATTTTTTTATTATTACAAATGTTATTTTAGGTAATGGACGATTACCATAGACTTCTAAACAAGCATTTTTAAGTGCTTGAACTTCATTATCAAGTAGTTTTTGAAAATGACCTTCATCAACACCATCACGATAAACAACAATTTTTGTTGGATATTGTTTATTTGTTTGTACAAATACATGTAAAAGATCACGTGTCATAGGTTGAAAATCTTTAATAACTTCTAATGAATATTTTTTATCTTTTACTGGTCGTTGTTCACTTGAACGACATATATATTGTGTTGATGTTGGTGATACACTTGCAACAACAGCTGCTATTGATGGTTTACGTTCGGAAACAACAACATGTGATACATCAGCACCAATAAACATAAAAACATCACCATCGGATTTAGGTTGATCATCAAATATTTTTTTAAATGATACAGTTGAATTAATTCCACCTAAACGTGCATTCATTTTTTGTGCAACATTTTCAATATAAGCATTCTAAGAAAAAGAATGAATCAAATTGAATAGAATTCAAAAAATAAATAACTTACAAGTTTGCCAGGATTATTTTGCTTTCGAATTGAACCCAAATCACAACCTATAGAATAGAATATTTAATTAAAAATATCAAATATGTCAAGTAATCCGTGGGTGTGAAAGAAGAGTAATCCATACATGTACATCCACCCTCAATCACCCACTGCTACAACGACGACATCGATCGTGCCGAGCTTCTCGAAGGATACTCGCTTCAACGAAATACGCTCATCAGATTGTCTCTAATATTTCTACACTTTTTACTTGTTACATAACTTACAAAGAGTAATGATACCAAATTCTTGTAATGCACAACGTTTTATAGTTTGATAAGAGTCCGGACAATCACCAATCAAAATAAATAAACCAAATTCAGCACCACTAGCATGTAAATCATAAATACATTGACGTATTTGATGATGAGATATAATTTTTGTTTCAAAATGCGGATTCATTTGAATTCCATAACGACGAGTAGTTTCTGGTAACATATGACAAAATTCTTCTAATTTTTGCATATCCATATGTCCTGGTTCTCGCTTCCCATCTTTAACTAAAATCATTTCCCATTTATGAACACGTGTAGTTTGTTGTAAGAGACTTCCTTTCATAAGCCATTTACCAATTGTAACTGAAGCAATACGATTATTTCGATAAACAATATTTGGTGGTTCAAGTACACGTCCTTTAACTTGTAACATTTCATTTGTATCAATTGTCATTGATAAATGTTTTAAATATGGATCATTATTAAAATTTCTTTCATTAGCAATCATCATTGTTTTATTAAAACGTACTTCAGGTAATAAAATCGAACGTTTCGATTTTTCAGCATTTTGTTCTGTTGTCATTAATGATCGATCAACAATTTGCCATTCTTCAACAAAACATAATTCAATTGGTATATAGGATAAATTTTGTGCACCTTTATTAACACATTCAAGTGTTGGTAAACGTGGATATTTTAATTTAATATCATATTTTTCCACAAGATATTCTGCAACAGACATTTTACGTGAATCACCATCAGGTCCATCTATTGTTACAGGATGTTGATCAGCATTATCACCAAAACCACGAATATTATAAACCATTTTATTAAATGTATGTCGAGTTTCAACAGTAATGATTTCCAAACATTTCATTCTTAATAATGCACGTTTTTCATCAGCTGACATTATAGCTCCATTGATTTTTAAATCTCGTCCAAGATAAATCGATAGAAAATGTAACATATCAATATTTCGATAAAAACATGAACATTTTGTATCAATTGTTAATGTCGGTCCAATTTGTGTAACAAACATCGCTTGATAAAAACCTTGTGCTAATGCAAAGCCACTATTTTGAAATGGTCCACCATCATATAACATTTGATTTTTTTCAAAAAATTGATTTCGAATGCAAACCATACGTGAACGAATTGTTTGTTTAAGTAATGTTTCAAGCATACGAATTAAATCTTGTGGACGTTTACATGGTGTTTTACTTTGAACATATTGCCACATATCTTCAACAGTAACACGATCTGACATATCTTTAATAGCTAATTGATATATTTGATTTTTTATTGTTATTTCATATGTTCTAGCTCTATCAAGTAATAATTCTCGTGAATAAAGAAAATTACCATCATCAAACCTAAATTTGATTTATTATACAATTTTAAATACAAATGAAGTTAATTCTATACTTTACCATACGAATGGTAAATTGTCAGCTTCTCGTTGGAGAATTTTTTGAACTATTTCAAATCGATTATGTTGACGTTTATTTGCATTACACCATTTACCACGTTTAAATACATTTACATGAACAGTATATTGATTCTATAAGAAGAAAATTTGATTTATTTAATTTCTATAAGATAAAATAATACGTACAATAGCAAGAGTCTCAGATAAATTACATTTAAAATGATTTGTATAAAGTGTAATAACTTGTCCTTTAGTGCCACCAGAATCTGGACGAAAACATATTGGGATTTGTTCATGTTGTGATCGATCAGGTACAACAGAACGAATAGCATTAACTGATGGTGGACGATTATCATAAGGTTTATCCGGATGATGAGGTTCTGCGGAACGATTACGTATTCGACTATTGTGTGTGTGATTATTATTTTCAAATGAAACTTTACTAACACGATTGCATACATCTCCAACTGATACTGGTGATAATGGACGACGATGATAATGGTGCGTATTTGGTGTTATATAAGATGATGGATCAATATCTTTATTACGTGTATCATAACGAGCTGGAAAAAAAATATGAATATTTTAATATATCAAAAAGAAAATTGAAGAATATAATTACGTTTTCTTCCATGACCACGATTTCCACAAGTGTTTGTGGAAGGTGGATAGCGATAGGAGGGTGCTGACATTTAGAATCTGATAATAAAAATGAATATGAATGCAACAAGAGAAAGAAAAAAAGAGAACGTATATCAGATGTATATCGATATATGTATTCGTGTAGAAGATTTTGTAAGAACAGATAAACAAAGAGCGATATCTAGAATATAGTTTCGTTTATCGAGGGATGAATCGTTTCATCTTTGTCTTCTATTTCTGATTAACTTATAACATGCTTACAAATCGTTTTTGAGATTCTTGGCGACATCTTTTTTTTTCTCATAACAAAATCATAATTTTAAAATTTAAATTTCTCTTGATGTATGCATAGTACTTTTGTTGCTATTAATAAAAAGTTAATATTATTTTTCAATTGTTCCTTTAAAAAGACTGTAAAGTCAATTTCTTAGAAATATTATTTTGTAATATGGATGTTATTTATTTTGATATTAACAGAAGAAAATTTATAACAGAAAAAGAGTAAAATAAAATGAAGTTCTGTTAAGAAAAAGAATGAAACAGGAAAAGCAAATGTTAACAATAGCGAATAATAAAAGAATAAGTCACTTTGTGGCTTGAATATTGAATGAAAAGATTGATCAAAATGTTTAAAAAAGAACAAGTTACTAATAGCATGATCAAAAATCTATGCGTTGTTTTTCTTTTTGACTGTGAACTGAAACGAAATAATCAAAATACATTTATATTATATATACGTACTATTTGTTATTCATATAATTTTACCTCCTTATCCTGTATTGAAATTGGACTAATATATTGAATATCAGGACGTCGTTGATATTCTTTATCATTAGGTCCTTTAATCCATAGGGTTATAGCAAAACGAAGTTCATTTAAATAATAATCTTTTTTCAATTCATCGTGAGTTCTGTGTTTTGTGTCCTGCCTTTGTCCATCTAAAAAGCAATAGATTTATGCAGAAATTTTATCAACTTTTCTCACATACTTGAGCTGACTAGCTTAAATACTTTCAATGGTTGTTTTTTCACTAATTCGTCGTTTGTAAGCATTATTACAACTAACTTTAGCCTAAATATAACTATAAAATACAAACAAATGCCAAATTTAAAACATACATCAGCTGTTGCATATTTTCTGTATATTTCGTCAATGGATACATTTTATAATTTCCAAGGTTAACATATATTGGATTACAAGAATTACCGTATGAACCATTTTTTTTGTATGGAAAAAAATCAAATAATGAATTGAAATAAATACATCCTTTAATAATTCGTGTTACTAAAGCGATTTCTACCCATACACGACTAGGATCAGCAAATAAATACATTATTGGAATCTATAATATATATAAATATATATTCTATCAAGTATGATTTTTATAATAGTAACAAACCAATAAATTCAAAAAATGTTGATTAATACGATCGGCAAAATAGCAAGGCTTTCTTGGTTTTGCTTGTGTGCCATCACGTTTGGTATTACTCTTTGGCATGTAATCACTTTTTGCACGACCATGAAATCTTTCTGCAGGTTCACTTTCAAGTCTCATTTGTTCACGACAAGCAGCAACAGTTGTATTCGTTGATAACGTAGGTGACAAATCTTCTTTTCGTTGTTGTTCTTCTTCCGTCTTATTTGTAATAGTAGCTAGAAAATTTTATACGACTCATAAAGAAAAATTCTTGTCAAACGTAAATATACCTGTTTGCAACGATGTATCAATATTCTCTGATATATCATTTCTTTTATCTAAAAAGATATGATTATTTAATAAAATATATTTCTAAATAAATTCTAATAAACATACGAAATCTTGAGATTTGATCATTTGGAGGAAGAGGATGAGAAGATGTTAATGATTGAGTTTTTTCTATTAAATGAAATAAATAAATTTAAAATAAAATTTAATTTGATCATATTTTAGTTTTTAACTATAAAAATCTCAAATAGAATACAAATTTGATTTTTTTAGATAAATGTATAGTTACTAAACAGCTCCTATTAAAAAAACATGATTTACTTTCACTCATGTTGAAAGTAATGACTATATTGATTCTATAATAAGTTATCAATCAACCATGTGTCTATATACATCTCATTAAAGGACTTTATAAATCATAATTATCTGAATGAAAGTTAAGATTAACAGGAGAGATTATAGAAACTTCGCATTAGATTAAAAGTTTAATTCGATATTTTTTCTTGATCTAAACTGATGTTACTCAATCACTATGGATATCTGAAATTTCACTAGTTATTTTTCATGAAATATCTAAACATGAACTATAATATGTAAATCGATTTAACAAACCATAGCTTGTGTTCGTTGTTGATTTCTTTGTTCTGTCAGAGACTTTTGAATTCTCGTCGTCTCCTATTAATATATTAACTAGAACTAACATTTAGTGAAAGAAAAGTATTTTTTACCTGGTGCATTACGTTTCATCATGTTTTGCTTCTTTGATTTGTTTTTACCAGGATTTTCGGTAATTCTCTCGGCGAGATCAATGGATTCATCTAAAATTAGTAAATAAATTTCATAAAATCAACATTTTTGAGAAAATAAATAACTAACGTTCAACATGAGATGATGAATCCACTGCATGACTATCTTTTTCACTGTCAAAACTAACATATCCACAATCTATAAATGAAAGAATATTGATTTATATTATTTGTCATGTTATATTCTTACAATTAAGTTTATTTTGAATAAATTCACGAAGAAGATCCTTCACTTTATCATCATATTTAAAATTAGTTTTTTCTTCTTCATCATTAATTTTGTTATGTAAATATAAAGGCATATAGATATCACTTGTTTCATTATAAAGTAAAATAATACATTTCTTGTATGATGAAATATCTTTAACATAAATATCAATACAAGGTGCATTGTTATTCATGATTGGTTTTGAAATGATACAAAATAAGGTATCAGGATACAAATAACTTAAACCATAACATTCTGGTTCACTACCAGATATAATTCCTTCTTCAACTTTACGACAGTAATCTTTGCGATCGTCATAATCCAAGCTTGGCGGTACATGAATACCATCGTTATCGGTATGACTCCGAATAACATCGTTATCGGTATGACTCCGAATAACATTCGCTACGTTTTCACGTAAACATTTAATATTAATCATTTTCGATCGATCAGATAGAAAGGTAGTAGCATCATATAAACTTTGACCATTACCAGGAAGTTCACCACGACGAAATTCATGTGTTTTATAAGATATAGCATTTTGTGTTGTTGGTATTATATTGTTTGCTAGAATAAAATTTAGGTCATATTTGCTTTAAGAACAATAAATTTCCATATAGAATCAAATATCATAAAAGTCTAGTAAGAAACTCACTGAAAATGTATCGAGCGAAATATTTAGATAAGCTAAACTAGATATATTAGCTGCAAGATTAAATCAATGTGAACCTTCATGTAACTATGAGCTTATATGAATAAGTATTAAACTGAGTTTTATTAACAAATGATTTTCAAAAAAAAAACATATGAAATGAATCGATGAATAATTCTAAATATATTCAGTAGAATGGATATATTTCTAAATATTCAAACAAATTCCATTCATTCTAATGCTTATATTTATTCAAATTCATAACATTCAAACTTATAGTAACTCTTTTTACTCGATCATTTTAAAAATGCGACAGACTTTAGTCTTTATCTTCATATTTTTATTCTTCCATACTAATCTATACAGTTAAAAGTTGACTCATACAACTTAAGAGTTGCTTTAGTTTCTCTAGAGTATCTATTTTTTAGAATAACTAAAAAGCACTAATTGAATATGATATCTTTTAAAGATGAAACTCGAACTGAAATAGAAAAAAAAGTATTTCATACGACTTCTATTTGTCGATTTCTTCTTTTCTTAGTCTTGTATTCGAAAGTAAATAAATGATTTTTTAAAATACCTGATATATATTGTTCGTTTGCATTAAATAAATTAGTCTTGGAAACGGTTGAATCTAACATATGAAAACATTCATCAAGCCAATGTTCTGTGCTAGTCATCACTTTACTAGGATCATTGGCTATAATTAAAATACAAAAAAATCGTTTTATTTTTTTATGATATAGTTTTACTTACAACCGATCTGACTTTTAATAAAGTCAGGCAAAAGATCATCTACGAAGGTATCATCACGATTGAAAATGGTTATTCCACTTTGTAAATTTTCTATGTCACATAGGTATAATGGCTCATAATGTAAACTTGCTTCGTCAAAAATAATGTAAATACATTTGGTACATAATTTATTATTCTCACCGTAAGGTATCGGCTTTATTGGTACATTTTGTTGCTGATCTCTTCTCCAATTAATAACTTTAATCATTATTTCATACATTTGGGATAAAGCTACAAGCTCAGGTTCACCAGCCCAAGCACCATTTCTAATTCCATCACAATATTGTTGACGATTTTGACAATCGGCACCAAATTGCAGTTTGCTATCATCAATATCCATTTGTAAAATATAATCAGCCACCAGGTTACGTAAATTTTTCATGGTCGACTTTAATGACATTGCATTGATAAAAGACCAATATAAACATGAACCATCACCAGGAATTGTTTTACGAAACAAAGCATGCGTTGTTTTAGATATATTGTTTGCCACATTTAATGAAATCTGATTGTCTATAATAAAAATACATAATTAGAACGAATATTAAAGACTCGTGATTCTTTAAAATGAGTCAAGATTAAGCATAATTTATTTACTTTAACTAGAAAACAGGAAAAGCTGATAATTCTGGTTTAGATTAAGTGACAAACTAACAATACTAATCGTATAAATTTTATAGCAATAAGATAAAAAAAAATTTCAAGTGTTTCTTTTAAGATTATTGAAAGCAATTTTAACTTTGTCTTATCTTTGACTAAATCTAACGGTTTGGAGGGTCCGTTTTGCTAGCCAAAATCATTCTTATGATCTCTAACAAATAGTGGAAAAGTTTGAAATAATTTCACTATAGGTAAGTATGCGAAGGTGTTCCATTGCGTTATATGTTCATTCAATATCAAAAAAAATTCTTTTTATGATAGAGACCGAGATTTAGATTATTCATCGAAATTTTTCAATAGATAGGCTATCAAATCTTTTCGAAGCGTCTCATAGTTCAAGAAGAACCAAGTTATGGATACAAAAGCACCTACAAGATGGGAAAGGGTCAAAGTAAAATATTATACTACTGCGAAATCATATTAGTAATATAGAATGCACTTTTATTTGTATTACCTGTTGTCTTTGGGGTGACGGACATTGTTGGATACCCGTCATTATCTATAATACATTGAAATAAAGGAATCCAATAGAAAGAATAATAAATTTGTTTTACCTGTTATTCCCTGCTCTGTCGATGTATTCACTTCAGTTTCCATATCGATAATGTGAGGTATATTGTCACACTCAGCTAAAAAATATATTAAGAAATAAAAGATTTTAATTTAAATATTTAATATACGTTGTCCTTGATGTAATACGTCATTAGCTGTAGTCTGAAGTTCATCATCTAATTGTACATCTACATGACCTTTAAAATGAAAAAAAAATTGTTCTTATTTCTATTATTTATTATATTTCTACTTACAATTAAAATTACTCATAAAAAATTTTCGTAGAAGAATATTGATTGTCTCATTATAACTAGGGAGAATTGTTATTTGTTCTCCACTTAGATCGATTGTATTATATAAATATAATGAACAGTATTGTTGTTGTGTTTCATCATAAACCATATAAACAGATTCTTTATAATCATTACCATAATATTTAACACGAATTGATGATATAGTCTGATTATATTTTGTCACATAAATTATACATAGTCTTGTCTTAGTAAGTAAACCTAAAGCTTCGATCTCATTTTCATTAACAGTTGCGTTGTTGGTTTTAACTAGACGAGGTTTTCTAGCAATGTTTGTACTTTTTACATTGATATTTTTAGGCAAAGCATTAACTGTCTGGTTTGTTCGACAATAAAGTCTTTCTTGTACTAGTGCATATGCACGGTCTGGATTTATATTAGCTTTGGTTCCAACAACAATACAATTATAAAAATTGGAACCATCGGATAAACGAAATTCACGAGTCTCTGCAGTTATATTGGAGGCCATTGCTATAAAACATTTTTAGTAAATGCGAGAAAAGAAAAGAAAAAATAATACTGTGAGAAGCAGAAAGAACACGTGATTCGTTTGATATACTAGAAAGAAAAAACCGACCGTGCCTTTTGAAAGAGAACACGTTCTCTCGATACAATACAAAGGCAAATTAACGAGATTTTTAATTTTAATGAATATATATAAGTAAAATTGGTTTTGAACAATAAAAAGTTATTTTATTTTCTAATCTCTTAGGAACAATACTAATTATTTGTTCTATCTATTAGGTTTTTTGCATTACCAAAATATTTTAAACTATATACAAGAATAAAACAAAAACCTATTCACGAACGAATATATTTATCCTAGTCGAGCTTTTTTTGGCAAGCACATAACATACTTGAGCTTCTTGAGCTAAAAGGACATGGGATATAGACACATCTTGAGATCAAGCCAGGTCATATGCATGAAGAAACTAGACCTCCACTTGAAACAAGTTCAAGTAGGAGAAAGGCGGCTGACTGCAGAAGTGTAACCACCCTCATAAACGCGGAAAGTTGAACCATTTAAAATTTTATTATATTTTATTCTCAAAATCGATTAATGAAACTCAGATGAGCAGACCATCGAATAATTACTTTTCATAGACTAGACTCTATCATGATGAATTTAAGTCACAAGAAACGATAATTAAAATGTATATGCATATACAATCTCATTTATCAATGGTCACATAATACTGAGTCATACATAACCATATAAGGAAACCATCACGTGTTAATTAATGGTTTTTTTAAAATTATGTATCTCCCGCACGGAGCCGAATTTCAAAAAACGGTTTTCAGATGTGCACTCAGCACGTTCTCACGAATATGGCAAGCTTTTCTCCGATTGAAAATGTTGCTCAGGTGCTAAGAACGAGTGGCAGAATTGAATCGTGACTCATCTGTCGAGAAGGAGAAGAAGAAGAAGAAGAAGAAGAATATCAAAAGCAATAAGTCGACTGCTGCACATACGTGCAGTCAGCCGCCTTAAAAAGTCCGGCTAGGGTAAACTAAAATCATTTACAGAGATAACATAAAATAAATTTTATTTGTAAGAGTACTAGAAGAAATCAATAACTTCATACACATATTTTAGTTGAGAAGAAAATAGGCTTACCGTGTGTTCTTATTTTACATCTACATGTTACAAATTCTAAAAGTGTTATTATGAAGAATCTGTTGACACTTTTATTGACGTCAATCGAGATGAATTTCGTAAGAAAAATAAAGGAACGTGGCAATACTTCGACAGAAATAACAGTTCTTTTTGTTTGAATATATATATAATATCATTATTAGACAAATATGTTTTACTCATTCGGATTAGTCATCGTCATTCTTTTTTCTTTCTCTTCTATAGATTTTTTAATTTATCACAGTTAAGTGAGCAAAAGTTTTTTTTCTAGAAACATGTAAAAGGAAATGAAATAAAAAAATTTAATATGAATGTCCTATCAACTATAGTAGAATATGATTCTTCATTATTGAGTGTGCCAGATTAAATAAATATTTCTTATTTTTGTAGCAACTCTTTTAATTTTCATCCAATTAAGTCAAATTTAAAAAAAAAAGATCGTTGTGTGCTTTTCTAAAGGAAAACATGGTGAAGTTGTAAAAGAACAAGTAAAGACGTTCAAAAATGTAAACTTTTTGGCCACTGTAACATAGTCAAATTCTTTAGTTTGATGATTTTCTAGTACTCTGAGTCAAATTGATGATACAAAATCAAGTTTTCCTCAAAGTGTTGACAATCACAATAGCTTCTATTCCGATTTGAACGAGCTCAGTGTAAGATATAGTACGGCGTCATGATCATGATCATTCGGTAGTTGAGACTATAAGATTCAAACTAAAAAAAATTATTAAAAATAAATGATGTTTGACTCAATTACGCAAACTTTTGTAAACCGAACAAAAACATCAATCGAAAACTGATTTCTTCATTGTGAATTAACGTAACATTCTAAACGTTTTTAGGCAAAAGTTGCAGATATAGATCATCATAGTATTCCAAATCACCGTCTGAATTTATGAATATCTCAGCGTATAAAAAATTGAATATGCAGAGAATCAAATGATGATTCTTTTAAAAATTGAAAGAGTTATTGCAAAAACAAAAAATACTTATTTAATCTAATCCACCCGATACAACAGTCTATTTCACATACCGAAAAATACAATTTACATTTTTAATGACTCAAAATCTTTCTATAAATATATTTATATATAAAAAATATTTTAAAAGTCGTCCGAAATTTGTATCTGAACAAAATGAATTCTTTCTTTACTGTTTTAGTATCAACATATTCATTATACCATGGATATTTTAATCACTAGTTTTTTATACAACACAAAATGAATACATAAGACAAAAATTCTAGTTTATTTGTTTATTAAAACTAATCGCACACGAAAAAAAAAACACAAATGTATTATAACAGATAAACTAAAAGAGAGTAGCAAAAATAGTCAAAATCAAATGTTTTGTTTCTTGTTTATTCAATTTTTAATATAAATCATCGAGTGAATTATTAGTAAATATGATTAGAATTTAAAAAATAATTAAATAAAATTAAACAACTTGTGTTCCTAAATTTTGTCCAAAAAAATCATTCGAATCATGAATATGTGCTGATTGATCAATTCCAGAATCAACACTTTGATATGTTTTTCTCAATGGACGTAATGTTGGTGGATTTGCTAAGAAAAAATTTCTATTTATTCGTGATTTTCTAATAGTATTATCAGGTGGTGTTTGTTTTTCAACAACATATGTTCGTGATGAATTGATTACAGGCATTAAAAATAATGGTCTCTTTTTAGAATTTGAATTCTCATGATTATTGAATGTAAAACTACGATTTCGTTCATAAATAATTTCTTTTTCAATTGGAGTTGCAACTTCATTATTTGGTGGATGTGTAATAATATTTTGAGTACCAAAATGAAGTGGACGCGGCTCTGTCACAGGTGGTATTTGTTTCTGTTCAGCATAATGAATTGGTTGGGGACGTGCTGGAGCTTTTTGATTTTGATGAGATGTACTAGAATGATGAACAACATCTGTTGGTATTAACGTTGTAGAACTGCTCGGTAATTCTTGGATATAACTATGGCGTAAAACATATGGTTTTTCTTTTTTATTTGGTACTTGTTCGAAGGGGATATCTTCATATTGATTATAATTATTCTTATTTGTATCTGAAAAATATATTGTAAGTTGATTATAAACAAGATTATAGTTATATAAAAGTAATTTTTTACCTTTTGGTGTTTTTTTTTCTTCATAATTAGTAAGATGACCTTTCGTTGGAGTTCGATTTTGATCATCTTTTTGTTTTGGTGATACAATTTGTACGTCTATGAGGTTGTCTTGATTTTGTGTTGAGGATGAATTTGTTCGTTTTGGATGGGTAGTCGTTGGATAGATATTTTGAGGTAGCGGTAGTTCTTCTGCGTGAATTGATGTTCTTTTATGTTTTGTTGATGGTGGATCTGATTGAACACCGACATGAACTGGATGTTTCATACCATCAAGACTAGTATCAGTTTCAATTGTGGCTGTTGGTGTTCGAGGTTTTGTTTTACGTGGAGACGGTTTATTATTTGAAAATGATGAAGAATGTGATCGTTGGGGAGGTGATAAGGGTCGAATTTGTGATGATGGTGGTGTTCGTGGAGGACTTCGACGACTTGGTCGAGGGGGATATTGTTGATTTTGTGAATAAGGAGTTGGATTTAGATTATTGTCTTCTATTATGTTTAATTGACCAAAAATGTATGGATCATATTCTGATGAACGTGATCGCGGGTGTTGATGACTGGAAGATGTTGTTTGTTGTATTTTGTCATGTCCATTGATCACTGGATCATATTTTGATGAATTTGATGGCTGGTGTTGATGAGTGGAAGATGTTGTTTGTTGTAGATTGCCATGTCCATTGGTCATTGAATCATATTTTGATGAATGTGATGGCTGGTGTTGATGACTGGAAGATGTTGTTTGTTGTAGTTTGTCATGTCCATTGATCATTGGATCATATTTTGATGAATTTGATGGCTGGTGTTGATGACTGGAAGATGTTGTTTGATGTAGATTGTCATGTCCATTGATCATTGGATCATGTACTGTGTGTTGATGAAGTTTTTCCGGACGATGTGTTTTATATTGTTGTGATAGTATTCCATTATTAACAATATTTGCTTTACTAAGTTCACACATTGTGCCGACATTTCGTGTTGATCTTATTTCTGTTTGAGTACGATGATTCTTTGCAACTATTTGTTGTCCTGCTTTAGCTGAACGATTGTATTGTTGTGTATCAGGCATTGGATCTAAATTTTCTTCGTTTCCTTCGTAAGTGTCACGCAAATTATATAAATATGGATCTGGCGTATGAAAAGATGTATATCGTTTATCAAATGAGTCTTGTTTAGTTATCTCATCAGTGATATCAGTTGTTGGTGGCGAATGTGGTCTAAGCTGTATAATACCATGAGTATACAAATTTCGTCCCTCTCCTGTTGGTAGAGTTATCTCAAGCGGCTTTTTACCTGTAAATAAATAATAATAAAAAAAGACAAAGTTTTTTTATAAGTATATATGTATCTTTTAATTTTAAAATGATAAGAATCCTTTTTATTCAAATATGACATACACCTACATACATACATTCCAATGTCTTATCAAATACGTCTCTTTTTATGCTACTTTTATTGACTTTTTAGTCACAACAAATAACGACCTTCTATTCTTGTTATATTCTTTTTTTTTTTAATAACTCTTTACTTTCAATAAAAGACAAAAAGAAAAAACATGTCATAAAGCATTAGAAAAGAATCAAAGAAGAATATCGCAAAAATCTAGAATACTAACAAAATTGTAAAATTAAATCAATTAAAGATAAATCTATAAAAATAAAGTCAATTATGTATTTTAATTGGATTTTAATGTGTGGACGTATTATCGTTAGGATGCGTTTTCTTTTTGTTTTTGCTACGTTTCTGTTTTGGCTCTTTCTCGTTCTTTTTTTTTCCACCGAGTATTTTAGATATGAATCCTTGTTTTTCTTTTTTGTTGGATTTCACGGGAGCTGTTGATGAATAAGATTGAGTCATAGATTCGTTTGATTCCGTTTCTTTTGATGCGGGATAAACTGGATTTGGTCTTACCAAACCATCAACTTGTGGTGGACGATGTACCGAAGTACTTATATCGTAATCATCTATGTCATTGCCATTAACGTTAATATCATTACGATATGTAGGATCATCACTACCAATTGCAAAATTATTATCCATTTCATAAGGTTCCTGATTTTCATTATTTTGAATTTGTTCATATCTTTCTGATGATCGATTCGGTTGTATAGTACTGCTAATATCTGTCTTAGAATAATTATTATTAGCATGATATTGAGGTGGAATTCGATTTGATAATATAATAGAATTTGTAATATTTTCATTTGTACCATTGGAAAGGTTCATATAACGACGAGTAGTAGTATTAGTTGGTGTATCATTAGTTGTTGTTGCAACATCGCTTTGTTGTGCAAACCGACCATCATCAGTATTTGTGTCATCATGTATATATTCATGATATGTATTGCCCGGATAATTACGACTAGGCTGTGTATTTGAATTTGCGAGTAAATCTTGATGACTATGCCCAATAGCTATGCTCTCTTCATCACTATCGCTATTGTTGTCTGATAATTGATGTTTAGTAGATGAACCAAAAAAATATTTTTTTGGATCTGGCGCATGATTGACATGCTGCTTAGAAGAGGTATGAATTGAAGAAGACGGATAGTATGACTGGGGAAATTCTCCATCTGCATGTTTGTTTGGTTTACTTGTAATTTGATCTGATGGTGCATGTTCATTGAATGAAACTGATTGATTCTTCTGTTGATTATTTGATGGAACTGAATATGTATCATCATCGCTGTCTGGTGCCATTGCTGATGGTAAACGGTTAGTCATTGAAGTAGAATTCAATCCTGCTCTTCGGTCTGATTCTCCTTTAAGTTTACTTTGACCATCATCTAGGAATGTTGTATTTTGATTTAGTTGATCTGCATCAGCTGCTGATAGAGCACTTTTTTTGGAAGGATGTGATTGATTTTGATCAATATTATTAGATAATGTAGGAGTACGACTTTGATTTCCTGCTATATCTTGCATAGATTGTCTTGCACGTTCTTGTACTGCAGAACCTTGAACAGTACCTTTAAATATGAATTGCATTTGTTCAGGATTATATTCATCGGTATGTGAACCATGATTGGATAAATTTTGAATGAATTCCATATCACCTGAGATGAGTTTATATTGATTAAGAAATGGTTTCAAATGATCTTGATCAGTATTATCAATAGCTGGTGGTCTTTTTGATATTGAATCATTTCGTTCTTGCGTTGTCGTTTTCTGTTCGTAACGCGGTTCATATGGTGAGTGTGATAGTGGTCGAGTATTTAGTGGTACCTGTGATACTGAATCACTTCGCTCTTGTGATGGTGTTTGTCCTGTGTATTCATTTCGTTCTCGCGTTGTCGTTTGCGGTTCGTGACGTGGTTCATAGTGCGAGTGTGATGATGGTCGAGTATTTAGTGGTGCCTGTGATACTGAATCACTTCGCTCTTGTGATGGTGTTCGTCCGATGTATTCATTTCGTGGTGGTGGTAGTGGTGGTGCTGGCCGAGTTGCAAGTGGCACATGTGAATATGAACCGTTTTGTTCGTGTGGTGAACGTTGTCGTTCATAAGGTCTCTGATCTTGTGGCGGTGGTGTTGTAACGTCGAATCGTTGTGACGTTGATAGTTGGTGTTGTCGTTCCCATTGATTCGGATTTTGAAATTGTGAGTCATGAGTTCCATACTGTTGTGAATGAACGATGTTTTCGTGTTTATGTAACGCGTCGTTACGTATGCTTTCACGTCGATATTTAGTTGGTGTTAAACATCTTGGTACATATATGGGCTCTTCTTCGTCGCTTTGTTCGCTTTCATTATCGAAATTATTTGTTGGAGAAATATTTGATAATGGTGTACGAGCTCCAGAACGATATTTTGATGGTGTCAAAATTTTTTTTTTTCTTAATCTAGAATTATAATGACTATCACAGTCATTATCATCTTCATCAGTACTTGGTAGCGGATGAAAATGTTCATGGTTATTTATATTTTGCGGATTATAAGACATTTGTGAATTGACTGTTGTATACGAATTTTTCGTTAATGAAAAATAATATGGTGGATCTTCAATAGATTTTAGTGAAGTTAGATATGTATCGTCTTCAGTATCGTCGTCTTCGCTATCATATACCTTTGTGATGAAACCACGATTCTCTTTTTCATTAAGACTTGTTGTCAGTTTATTTAGAGAGACTGACGTGTTCTCTTTATCAATGGTCGTAGCGTTTGGAAGGCAAACTGCTGACGAAAGATAGAGATTTTCGTATGCAGGTATATTTAGCTTACGCGAGTAAAACAACGTGGGACCTATAGAATACAAGTAACAAAAAGAAATTGCAAGAATGTGAAACGAACGTTTAGTTGTGACAAGAAAAGAAGAAGATGATGATAATGATGAATACACAACATCTCATGTTCTTTTTTTGCATTAGATAAGATATACTCACGAATCATTGTTGAAATTATTTAATTAAATAATAACAAAAAACAGCGTAGATAATTCGTATATTTAATGGTCGAAAAGAAAAAACAACAGTACGATATGAGACACCAAATTGATTTGTCAAAAGTCGACCATGATAAATAAAAGAAAAAAATAACAGAAGCAACCAGCATTCTTTTATAATATTATTTATGATCCATCGTAATAAAACCAGATGAAAAGAAAAAGAACGAAACGACAATGATAACCGCATATAATCACTTTTAAAACGCAAAACAGAATTATACAACACAATATAGATTTATTACATATTTCTATTTTTTTTTCGAAAAATGAATATAGTCTGATAAATTTTGTTTTTATGAGTATCAAATAATCCATATAAAGAAAGATATCTTATAAGCAAATAAAGAGAGGGGAAAAATGATTGCGATTTGATTTAAATAAATGTTTCATTGCGCAGTTAAATAAAATTTAAAAAGAAAACAGACTTACCGACAATAATTTCTTGCCAGGATGTGTGAATATTAGGCGATTCGATACTAACAACTCGAATTTTATATCTTCCAGCTAAATAAAATAAAAGTTAATCTTGATCAATATTGAATTTATAAATTTTTATCGACAATAAAATAAGTATTTTATTAGTGCTCTTTATAGAACAAAATGTTTTATTTCTTTACGTACGATATTTAATAATATAATCAGGAAAGTCTACTAATGACCGGCCTTGAATTGGTTCAAGGTCTTTCATAAGTATCGTTGTTGTTTGTGAATTATTTTCAACTGAAGAAAAAGGAAAATCATTGTGATGATGAATATATGTTATATTACGTTGTTCTTCCAATTTAACACGATCTGTAATGCCTTCATCACCAACAACACTGAATGTTTGTAATTTTTCACCGGCAATTACAGTTGTTTGAGGTGGATTATGCCATTCAAGAAAAGTCAATTGAGGTGCTTTAATAAAATCAAAATATGATTTATAAAAAAGAATGTTTTATCACTAACATTTTAATGATTCGGTTAAATGTATTAATTGAAAATGATCATTGACATGTAAATATTTATCCTAAACAAAAATTATCGATATTTTATTTTATGATTCGTATGTACTTACAGATGAATTTAAAATTTCATCTCGATTTTCATCTAATGTTTCCGGATCATTTATACCCTATGATAAAAATAGAATAAAACAGATATTTTTTTATTAAACAGAATTCTTACATTCCTTAACAATGTATTAAGCTTGTTTTCCAATCCATATTCTTGTAATAGATTAACTAAACGCATATCAACGCCAAAAAAAGCGATGCCTTGTATACGAATATCATCACCACCGTAATTATCCAAAATAAAAACTCGAATAAATCGAGTTATTAATGAGGGACAAAAGAAATCATTCTTATTTTCTTCTAAAATTTTATATTTTCTTTAAATTTTATTAAATTCGATTTGTTTTATTTTACCTGAAGGTAAACAAGTAAAATCTTTGACTTTAAGCCATGGACCATTCAAAGCATTTGATACATCAATATGACCATTTTTTGGTGTTGAAGGATTACCACTGAAAAATAAATATTTAATCACAATCGATGTTTTTTTTTTAAATTTACCATCCATTTATTCGAATCCCATTGATATTATGTTCATGTTTGAAATCATATATAACCCATGCATTGTTAGACTGCGTGGAACACCAATATGTTTGATTAGAAACTAGGAAATAAAAGACTTTTGAAGCTGAAAAAAAAAGTTGTTGATTTACTATCAAGCAAATTTTGTACAGAAGAAGTTTCAGCTGTTTGACTTCGATATTCATCAGTTTCCATTGTCCAATTTTTATGATTATGAAGTAATGGATAAATATTCGAAGGAATATTTTCTATATTTTTACCTATTGTACTTGTATGCGATTTCAATGATGTTGTTGGTGGTGTATCTAAAACAAGATAATTCTATCATAGAAAAAATCATTAATATCTCGAAAAATATTTACCAACAAGAATATTCATAAAATTTTGTCGTTGATCTGGATGTATTTGTTCAGCTATACTCAAAGCTGTTTCATATCGATTATTTGCTATATTTTGATTAGCACCATTTGCAATCAAAAGTTGAACAGTAGATAATTTTAATGAGCGAACTCTGAGGAGAAAAAACGTATTTATTTTTTAAAATAAATTATATTTGCATACGCAACATGAAGTGGTGTTGTCTGTGTTTGATCGGTGATATTTGGATCCATTCCATGATTAAATAATGTTATCAAACATTTATTATGACCTATATAAATATATTTAAATAATAAAATAAAGATGAAATTTACCAAGACGAGAAGCAATAATAGCTGCTCGATATGCTCGTTGAACTAATGTTCGATCATGAGATAATAAAACTTCCATCATATCTTAGAAATAAGCAAATTTATGTTTATAGATTTGTTATTCTTCATATAAACTACCTGGTTTATTGGCGATGACAGCTTCATCAAGTGGTAATCGTTGATTTCGATCTTGAATATTTGGATCAGCTCCAGCCTAATGAAAAGTTTTTTTTATGAACGTCATGAATGCAATTCTCTCCTTTTAGATTGGACCTATGAAAGTCTAATGTTGAGGGTGTGAGTATTATATTCCACCCACACCCACCCTTAAGATTTGATTACTAATGAACTTAATTAAAATGTTCAACTACAACAAAATAATACTTTGAATTGAATAAACTTACATCAAGTAATGTTTGAAAATGATCGATATTTTCATTAGTATATGATACAACAGCACGATGCAATGCGGTTTTACCGAATTGATTATATAAATTTGGATTCGCACAATATTGAAGAAGTAATTCCACAATAACATATTTCTGACGATGAATAGCTAGATTTAATGCTGTATCACTTAAAAAAATAATTTAAAAGGAATGCTTAGTCTTAGTCGATAAGTTTTTCTTTCCATTTACCCTGTTGCACATTGTTTATTTGGATTAGCTCCGTGAACAAGAAGAATTTTTGTTTTTTCATATGAACCTAGAAATTAAGTTTTACATAACTTATATCGAATAAAAAGTCTATCTTACCTTTTCCTGCAGTGATGATCAATGGTGTTATATTATATTTTGTACCTGTACAATCAATAAAATCAATTTGATCATCAATAACTCCATTATATGTTATAACATCATTGAGATTTTGAAAAGGTTTTCGATGAAATCCTTGTAGAAATGTCTTTAAGGAAACAATGTACAGTTTGAACAAAAAGTATTTTTTTCACTAGAAAATCTTAACTTACAAAAAGTTGCTCAGCAGTCCCTCGTTCTACTATAGCCAATAGTAGTTTACTCTCGTGCTGATAATCCATATTCTTCTTATCTGAAATTCAAAGATAAATAATCGTTATCTTTTTCTTCCATAAACTTAACCTTTAATTAACATATTAATCTAATCATTTACCATTCAATATGTATCTACAATAAATTTATTACTTCATAAAAAAAAAAGAAAGAAAGGTTTAATCATGTATAATGTCAACAGGATAAAAATAATATTAATGTTTATTTCTGTAATATGATCAGAGAGAAATCATGAAAAAATTGTTTTATTTATATTGAATATTCCTGAATATGTTTTTTTAAAGGTATCCGTTTTCTAAGGATTCTAAAACAGCAAATGATGCGGTTTTTTGTTTCATCGGTAGGCTTCTGTATGTTCTCTAGTTTCGATGTATGAAAAATATACATATTTTGATATGTAAACAAACATTGTCAATAGTAGAATGTATCACATTAATGTTAAGTAATAAAATAATATTTTTCTATGTTTCACAATTTTAATTTTACATTCTTGCAACAATTTTGTTATCAACACTTCTAAAATAATGAATAAAATAATTCTATTTCGTTTTTCTTAAAACTAATCATTATCGTTAAATTAAATGATTAATACTACCTTAATTTAACATATGCCATCGATGATGATTTGAAATATTCTATTCACAAGTGTTATAACTAAGTAATACTGATTTTCTCTTCTCTGGTTGATCAATAAAAACAAATAAAATATCTTCTTGAATAGAATAGAGTTGATGAATAGTCGAAATTGTTTGAAGTAAACATGACAACGTGGTTGAACACTTCAGTCTTAGTTGTTGTATAATACCATCAAAGAAAAAGTAAAACAATCTTTAAGTGTAATTTTTAATAACTGCACTTAGGTATTACAAAATATATAACATACTTTTATCATATAAGATGAAATTTGAAATATTGAATAAAATTCCGATCAAGAAGATTAAGATAATGAGAATAAGAATTGACTAACCGTAAAATTTGTAATATCGTCGATTATGAACATTGTCATAATGGATATTTGATATACGTTGTTTTATTAACAGTATAACTGTTCTTTCGAATTTATTTCATGTCATTCTGATAGATTGAATATTTCAATGTCATTCGGTTTCATCTACTTCTCTCTCCCTCTCTTGTAATATGTACAGGTTATGGGTTCTCTGCATTTATATTGTATATTGCGTAAAACATCAGAAAAAAAAGAAAAGTTGTACTACCATTCATTCTGCATCCTGTCTCTCTCTCGTCTTTTATTTATTCTCTCTTTTATCAATAGCGATGATGGTAAATGAGAATCGAGAAAAAAAAAGAGTAACAAGTGAATTTTAGGTTCTGTCATTTAGTAAAGAATAGTTAAAATATTATTCAGTTCACGGCAGTAAAAACAAAGAAGATGGGGAATATACTTTCAATGAATAGATTGATTAATATATCTCGAGGCTGTAGATAAACGAAGAACAACAAAAAAAAAGAAATATCGAACAGAATAAAATAAATCCTTTAATTTTTTTTTTCAATGTGATAAAAAAAATTCTTCTCTTTCTGTGGTCTCAATTTATAATGACATTCATTTATTCAAGAAGGTAATAAATGACATATTATTTAACTTCGTATCAAAATATCTTTCGTTTAGTTCTATCCAATCATTTATGTTTTTATTCGATCGATTAATCTCTTACAAAAAACAACATATTTTGAAATATATATGATACAATAACATTTATTTTTCTTTTCATATTATTGATGCCATAAACCAAAACAAAATTCATTCATTATTCTTTATTTTTAAGTCACATATTTTTCACTCGAGATATAAAGTGCAATATACAACATACAAAAAAAAAAAGAAGTGGCCGATATCATGAGTAAATAATAACAATCTTAAGTATTCAATCCATATTTTGCTTGAGTTTTAGCCAATTTTTCTTTTTCTTTATCTAAATTAATTTTATCAAATGCTTTGGTTGCTTGATAATAAAGTACAACTAAATAACGATTGCAAACATTAAAACCCGATAAATGATCACAGGCATTTTTCGCATCGAATATATCTTCAAAAACAACAAAGGCTGTACCTATTCGAATTCAAAAAAAATATAGTAAATAAAAAATTGAATTTTATTGTTTACCTCGTGTGTCAGGTGTATTACCAACACGAATTTGTCGTATAGCTCCATATTTACCAAATATGTCATACATTTCTTCAGCAGTTATTTTATACGGAAGATTTCGTACATATAAAATTCGATTAATTTCAGGTGGTAAACGAAGATTGGCACGTTTTTGCATCGCCATTATGGAAAGTTAAATAATAGTTAATCTAAATTAATAATAAAAACAGTATAATTAACTCAAGAAAAAAAATATCGTAGCCCTTTTGATTGTTTAACTGAGTTGCTGATTAAATTATATAAAGCGGCGTTTTTATTTTCGAAATACTAACGTCTGTAAGAGATTTTTTTCTTCAATCATACTTAACAATTCTTTCTTCTTTAGTTTTTTTCTAAACAATCCGCATGAGTAATGCATATACCTTGAGGAAAGAAAAATCTTTTCTGAGTTAATTCTAACCGACTTGAAGTACTATTTTATGCCATCAGATGAATCTTTATATCACATTCAATCAGTATAAAATTCTTCTATAACCAATGAAAAGCTGTTCATTAATTTATCTGACATCTATCAGCATTTTTTTTATTCAAGATCTATTAATTAAAAAAGGAAGATTGTTTTTTTTTGATTGGTGTATTTTCCGACCAATTGAAATTGCACAGAACAGAAAAAAACAAAATGGCAATTAATAGATTACAAAATATTTTGGAAATATCTGTCGTTTTACAAAGAAAGGTGATATGACTAGTTTTTATTTGAATAATTCTATCGAATGAACACTTTATTGATTAAATATATTCTGTCGCTTACAACCCGTCGATTAAACGACGATTTACATGGCTCGTACAGAAACATCAAATTTTAGCCATCCAACATCAATAATTAGTCTATCTTCTACAGTTACTTCACGTTCAACTATTAATCAATCAAATGTACCAAAAGATCAAAATCAACGTAGTGATATTGTTAAAACAGAATTTACAGCACGTGAAGGAACATATAAAATTTCTTCACTTATTGATAATCTAGGGAAAATTGGTACTAATACATGTTTAAATGAACCGGTTAAAATAACTTTAATGACTCGAATACAAACACGTATTGATTCTAATAGTGAAACAAGTTCAACACATTCATCATCAACAACTACGAATAATAACGTTAATTCTACAACATTTCATTTGGATAATCAATCAAATGAACATGGAACTGATGGAAAACGTTTATCAATATCCAATGAAAGTGAAATAAATCAACAAAATGTAAATATTCTTACTACAGAATTATTAGCGTGTAATGTCGGAAGAGAAATGGTTATTTATGAATTTGCCGAAGCAACACAGGTTAGAATTTTCGAATAAAGTAATCTTTGCTAGTATAAAAAAATAATTATATTTAATTAAAAAATGTCTTTCTCTCGTTATTGATCATATACTTTCAATAAATTAGGTATTTCCTGTAATTTGTATTTTCCGGTACATTTTCATTGTTTGACTATTTCTTTGTAACAGCTAATATAATAACGTGAAATTAGTAAACGAGATCTTATTCATGTCGAGTAATAAAGAATAGAATTAGTACTTGAAAGCGCATCAGAAACATTATGTTCCCTTAGGTACACATATAAGTAAATCTTCTTTTGTGATCCCTTGAGGATGAAACATAGAGTTTTGAGTGGATATTTTTTTCTTGCTGTTATCAGAATCGAAAATCAAAAGTACAAAAAATGAAGCATATATTTATTGATGAGAATCCATAAATCACCTTTGTTTTTTAGTCTAATTTTGGTGATCCAATTGATCATCGTATTTATAAACAAAATCATCAACCAACATGTCATGATATAACACAACATCCTGATACGAATGGTTTACATATAGTTGTTGGTTTTTCTAAAGGACAAATACAATATATAAATATGCAAACAAAAGAACAAAAAGTATTTAATGAAGCTGTAAGTTTGAAATAAACACGAGAATATTTTTGAAATCAATTATTTTCTTATAGAGTTATTTGGATAAAACAAAAGTAACATGTATTAAATGGTTATCATCACCAAAAACATATTTTGCTGCATCATATTCAAGTGGATATTTATATATATTCGATGAACAACTTAATCATCAACGTGATACAAATATTCAATCAGTTTATTCAACAATAAAAGATGATGAAAAAAATTATTCAATATCTTATTTAAAAGTTTGTTAAATATTTTTCGAAAAATAATTTCATTTCTATTTTAAAATATTAGAATAAAACAAAACAAGCACGAAATCCGGTGGCACGATGGTCAATTGGTAGTGGAAGTATCAATGAATTTGCTTTCTCACCTGATCATAGTCTACTAGCTATAGTATCACAAGATGGATTTTTAAGAATATTTAATTATGAAAAAATGGAATTAATTACTCATATGAAAAGTTATTTTGGCGGTCTTCTTTGTGTATGTATAAGTGATTTATTAGGATTACCTTCAAAATTCCGAAAATAAAAATCTCGAAAAAAATATCTCGAAATGCAAAATTTCGAAATTGGAAAAAGCTAGAAAATAATCACAAAGCGTAGATAAGCATTATGCCATGACATTTTCTTACGCTAACTTCGAAGGGTGGGCGTGGATGATTTTATCTTTCTCACCCACACCCACACCCACATCCACACTCACACTCACCCACCCACACACAGATCCAAACCCACACCCACACCCACACCCTCACCCACCTTAAAGTTCGATTCGCCCACCTAAAATACGAGACTTAAACAAAGCACTGTTAGGCGGCGCCCACCCAGAATTTTTATTTCGCCCACTCGAATAAAGAAACCTGGATAAAACACTGGTACTATGTTTTATAGCTAATTATTTATTGATAATTTTTTTGTTTTAGCTATGTTGGTC